AAAATCTGCTCATAAATTCCTTCAGACGGTGTCACATGGCAAACAACGTACAATGAAACAACCAGGGCATCATGTCATCCTAGGAATTTTCATACATAAACTTTTACTGTGCCACTCTTTGATAATTCAGCCATAATTAAATATCTGTCAATAAGGAGAATTTGCAGTTGTGAAGGACATAATACAGGACCAGTAAAAATTAAAAATTTGGTGCAATCCAACAGCAACAGAGAATTGAGTAAAAATAAGGTAAACCCATTTGTTTGGAGAAGGCCAAAAAACTGCTTTCAGACTAAGATTCAGGCAAACAGATCAGTCCAAGGAAACATTCCAAGTTAAAGATTAGCATTAAAAGTGTATATAATTCTTACTGTCTTTATGTATGTCCTTACATGTTTTGATGAATGAGGAGGGACTTTTGTACAGATATGACTAAGGCATATATATATATATAAAGATATAACTTCAGAGGCATAGCATAGGTTTAAAACTTTTCTTTTACTTGTAGAAGGACTTTTTGTAGCTGCAAAAAGAAAAGGAGGTTAAACCAGTTCCGGGAGGAGCAATAATTCACTTAAGATTTGTAGCCTTGGGTCAGTTCACACCAGGAAGGAGACTGAAAAACTGTTGTTTTAACTAAGTGCTCAGAGGAAGCGTTCAACACCACTAAAGCACTGGGAGCTGTTTTACACCAAAGTGGCAGGATTGCCATCCATGTCTAAGAAGTTCACATCCAAACTTGCTTTATTTTCTAACCTTCCATTCGTCAGAGGCAGAGGTACAACCACCGCTGCCACATCATCTCAAACTTAAAGAAATTATCTACAGCTAGTTCAGGGCACCTTTACTCCACAGCAGTAATTAGTTAATTTACTTGATATAATGTCCTATTCTTATCACATGACAATACTTTGTCATTTCAGGATCAATTCCTGCACATTGGACACAGTACCAGTGGTGAGCTTCCCATTTGTCTAAAAGTGCTTAAGATTCTCACTGAAAACACTTAAATATAATGTCTTCTATGAAGAGAAGGACTGCTTCTTTTCAAACCCATGCACAAGAACAGCTTTATATTGATCACACTGCTAATTACTTCCTATATATGTTTGCATCAAGGTTTGACCATTTCTAAATTTAAAAAAAAAGCCTGTAGGCTGGATGAATACAAAAAAAAAAAAAGGCCAAAGGTGAAACAAAAGTTTTGGCAATCCTCAGTATGGTGGTTGGTTTTGCATGATCATCTATGAGATACTAGCAATGCAGACAAGAAGCAAATTTGTGCAAAACAATCCACACTTACTCCTCCACCTTTATTCATTAATTTTCCTGGTCTGGTCTGGAAGATTGTTTAATGCATTCATGAACCCCAAATAACACTGGTTTGAGGTAAGTGACAGAAAAATACTTTGATAACAGTGAGTGCTGTATTAAGCTGTTAGTTCCTAAAGAACATACCAAGGCCTTCTTATTATCTAAATGCTAATGGAAATATAATGTAAAAGTGCCTCTTCCACCTGCTGTTAGCAAGGAAATCACCTCCTCCTGAGGCAAAATGTTTGAAGTCAGTATTTTGCCACATGCTTGATATCACAAAGCCATGTCATGCAAGATTAGACAGGTTTCCACAAATCAGCACAAACTTTCCTGAAGCAGCAGGAGAACAGCAAGAGCACAAACTTCTGCAGTGTGATCCACAGCAAGGCGCCCGAAGGACCGAAGGTTTATCCTGCCTGAACACAGCTCCCACAGCCTGCTGTGCCTTGTAATAGCACTTGCACTTGGTGTTCAAATACAGAGAGACATGCATTCAAATATGGATCTCTGTAGAATAGTGTCTGCTACCATTTGCAGCCTCAGCACAACCTCCACAGATTGACATTTCACTTTCCAGTTTAGTGCAGAGGCTTTCTTCAATTTCGGTATAATATACTCAGTCCTGCCATACTAAACAGAATGAGTGTCAGAAAAAAGCGTTACTTTGTTTCATAAAATTGTGAACTGACTTGCATCTATAAAAGAGAAGTAAAAGAAGGACCACTGCTTTCCCAGGAAAACAATAATTGCCATGGCTTTCTGACAGGTCAAAACCATAGAACTTATGTTTCCAGCAGTGTCTCACCATAGCAGCGTCTCTCATTAATAATGGTGGTCACAGAGATGGCAGTGTCAGGATAATGGGCTGATACCATTCACAATCATATTCTTTTAACTCTCCTATATGATACAACACTGGGAAGTTTCTCTGCACATTTACTTCTGCGTTTACAGTCATCAAACACGGGGCTACTTCCAGTTTTCTAACAGGCGAGTTCATTGACACGCTCATTAATTTGTAACTTAAAAGTAGAGACAGGAAAAAGAGCTAATTGCTGTAGCTGATAGAGGTGGCATTTCCATAAACTGCAGCAGCACACACAGCATACACATCCCTGTAGCTTCATCTTTTAAATGTGGTACCTCCTCATTTGATGCAGCTGAACTATGCAAGGCAACCCCATAGTACGACTTTTGGTACAGCACAGTGGGGAGGCACATCATAACAAATGAATCATCAGAGCTCTTCCGAGCATCAAGACCTCCATTTACCTAATTTACACTTCAAAAGTGTCTGCAGTTTGAAGTAGTAATCATTTGCTTTTGCTATGTAAGGGCTTTTCGAAGTAGGAAACTCAGTGCCAATTCCAAAAAGTGTTCTGATTACAATTTTTTTCTGTATTAGAACAGACACAAGAGACTTTAGACTCTCTCCATTAAAAGCTGCCCAGCTAATGTTGCCATGGAACAGTAGGCCAATATGCTCAGTTGCCTTGAATCCTGGGCAAAAACAAAATGCTCTTTAAATAGATGTTTGTAGGCTACAATACAACTAATAGTGTGAAATAAAAACACCTCCAAGAGGTATTGTCAGAAGCAGCACAGAATGAGAGGATTATATAAGTCTTGTCTCTTGAGATTCCTCCTAGAAAGTTTTTGGGGAGCAATGCTAGATGTGACTTGCAGTATTGTCCACCAGTGGGCAAAAGGAGTCGTCAATGCCTCCAACCTACCACTATCTGTTCCTATGATAAGTTTCTTAACTCTCACCATATTTCTGCAAGACACGATGCTCTAAAATTTGAAGGGGCCCATCAGTGGTCCTAAAGAGAGGTGAGGAAAGAAGCAGAGCACACACTCTCTCACACACACATGGTCTCACTCCCTCTCTCTGCCTTGGACAATGAATTCCCATACTAGGAATGACAGTGAAGTGACAGTCAATGCTACCACCTTTCTTAAAATTCCCAGGTGTTGTGCATTTGGGCAGAATTACGTGGATCTCATCACAGGCCTCAGCATGATTTATACTTGTTTCTTATTCATCTGGATAACAAAAATTATTAAACCTCATAAAACGAACCTTCAATCATTTGCTCTTTTTTATGATCACTTCTTCATCACAGCATGCCAGGTTATTATTATATGTTTTTCCTATAATTGAAACTCCAGGTAGAGAAAACAAAGATGCCAAAGATTCCCACTACAGAGCACACAAATATCCTAGCAAATATCTGGCTTTCATCATGTTCCCTTGTTCTTATGACAAAGCCTGTCACGAGAACAGGTAATTGCAAAACAAATTCATTTCCGTAATGCAAAGAGGGATCAAAAACAGGGTGTAAGCTTTAAAATGTTGCTACTAATTGTTAAAGCTTCTGTTCTTCAGACATTTTAGCTGCCAAAACTCAGGTTTTTCATTAACTGTATCCAGCTAATTACAGAACTTTTTGGAGGGGGAAGATAACAGAACAATTATTCTAAAAGCAAAGAAGGAGAAAAACAGAGTGGCTCAGTGATCTCCCTGTAGCCATCTTGTTGACTAATTTTGGAAAAAGGATAATTCACAAAATGAACTGACATTCTGCCCTCCAGATATAACAGAAAGCAACTCAAAATTGGCTCCCTCTCTCTGGGGTATTCCTTTATGTCTGCAGTCAAATTCACATGTCTGGATTCTTCCTCTCACCACTGTTTACCTGGCATTGTAATACTCTAATTACTTCAGAAATACATATTTGCATATAATGAAGCAATTATGTACATAATTTAGTCACTCTAATTGATGTTACCAAATACCAAATAATTGTCTTGTAATTCGCAGAGTTTAGCTATTCAGTGCCCTCGATGCCCTAGATTGAATGGAAGACAGTACTAAAATTGAAAATATTGAAAGAATCTAGTAATCAAGGTAAAGTTCGCATGAAAGCAAGTCCCAACTGAACAGTAAATTTTACATGACAATCCAATATATGATGTTTAATATATCTAATGAAATCTATCAAGATAACTTTTTTCAATAGACAACTATTCCTTTTAGGTATATGCAAAGAACTTCACTGAGAGAAAAGTCATGTTCTTTTTAATGCCATTATGGCACTCTCTTGGCAGTAGTGAATTCCAATTCAGAGCAGCCCGATTTCAGCATCGAAACACCTGTTTGGAGGTTAGGAAAACCCCTCCATAAAAAACATCCTCTTGGGTGGCCTGACTTGAAAGCCTCAGACAGACTACAAAAAGGAACTCAAACATTTGCACATATTTAATTTGGAATTTGCTTCAGATACAAGCTAATGTCTTTATAAACACTTCTTTAGGAACTACAAAATCATCTCTGTCCCATTCTCATCTTTTCTACCTCTAGAGACAGTCTCTGTCTAAAGTAATGAGCTTTAATACAATGAAGACTTGATGCATGTGAACATTTCTGGCTATCGTTGTTTCCTGGGAAACAATGGGATCTCCTCTCAGCACACAGAACATGCATTTCCACACACCACCTTGCTCCCATGCTTCGTTTGGTGTACATGACCAAGTGTTGAATTTGTTCTTAATAATTAACTTAATTTGTTCTTAGTAATTAACTAATCCACTTCAGCCTTTCATTTTCACTTCCAAATACATTTAAAGGTTTATTGACTGTTTCCTCTCCATGCATTGCACATGATAAAATTAATCTGTACCTTTTCACAGCTGTATTCCAGCTAATCATTATTGCATTATCCCATCATTTTTGCATTTGATTTTGACTGCACCTAGGTGGCAAAACCATATAAATCAATCAGGAGACAGTCTTTTTTCACAAATACTGCTTTGTTTGAATTTGAGAACCAAAGATGAGCTTTTCTCAATGTCAGTTGACTGTACCTGAGAAAGATTGACTTAATAATATTTCCACCTCAGAGCTTTTCACATGCAGGAAACATAATTATCAGGTCTTTATTTAATTGTGCAGAAGAAGAATTAAACTGAAAAGTTGAAGAGTTTGGAAACTTGCTATGTTGTCTAGAGAGACTGTAGTGCTGTTTATACACCAACAGGAAAAGCACAATGCAGATCTCTTTGTACACTGTCTTCTAAACACTGAAACTGCACAGTACCTATGTTGAAATATTTCCATTTAATATGAATAGACAGGACACCACAAGGACTAGATACCTCAAGGATCACAAATAAATTTTGTTGTTGTGTATGTAAACAGAAAATACATTTCATGTTACTGCACAACTGAAGCCTAGATTTTGGCTTTAGCCTTGCTAACAGCAAAATATGGAATTTGATGGGGGTGGTGGCATTAGCTCACCCTGGAAATATAAGATATTGGTCTACCCTGGAGATGGGATCCTACTTTTAACAAAGCTGGAAGCTAATGTGTAATGGCAAATCCAGCCTTTGCTCTTTTGTTCTACCTCAGTCAGTGGAAAACATTGCTAAAGCAGTTTATGCCCACAGAATATTCTTAAATCATATCCCAAAGCAGATTTGGACTTGAAATGATTGTATATTTTGCTTTGAATCTACAAATGTGGAAGCTTAAAATAAGTCTTGGCAATTAACCATTCGGCGTGTTCCAAGGTTACAGCTGGTGGAACTGCTTTCAAGTGATTTATCAGCATTTTAGTGATACACCCACAGTTTTATGAGTCTGAACCCCCCCCTGTGTTCACACACTGTCTGGTGATCCATTCTCTTATCACAGCAATGCTGTCTTGAGACTCAAGAGACAAACCACGGTCTTGGAATGATGTGCACACGGGAAACAGAAAAATATTTTTGAACTCAGTAAAACACAAGCCACATTTATCTCATTCCAGCTTTTCTTTGTATCTCTGAAGTCCCCTTTTCTTAGAAAATAATTTATTAATTTAAAGTTGGTCTCTGTTGTCCATCAGATAGTTTACAAATACTGTATCAATATCACTGATACAAAACTAAGCTCAAGACAATTATAGCTGACTTGGTTTAAATTCAAAATACAAATCCAAATGCACCAATTTCCTTGTATTCAGCAAATAGAAAATTTCATTTGAAAACAGTGGGAAGATTAAAGCTTCTTGGCCTTCTCTATTCAAGTATTGTCAAAGCCGATAATGATACTAGAATTATAACTACCAAATATTTTCTGCAGAAAAGCTCTGCAGAACATACTAATTGAGTACATTCAAGTAACTTAAACTGAAAAATCTGATCAGTGATGAACTTTCAACAACCCTTGCAGGGAAACACACATGGATTTATGGAGGAACACCTAAAAACATCCATGGCTTCACAGCAAATCTGCCAGGCTGAATGCCTTGCAGGCACGGAGCTGGGATTCTTGGGGCAGTGCACTCCAGGTGAGCTTCTGCCTTTCTCAGCAGTGTCCCAGAGCCAGGTGCCACAGCTCCCCTGTCCCTCTTGAGCCTAAACAAAGCCAGCAAGAATGCAAAAGATGGGAACCACATTTAATTCAGAGTATTTTGGGACAGATTAATTTGGCATTGATAAGGCATTCCAAGTTGGAACAAAATAAAGTAATAAATAAATCTTCATACTTGCAGGAATTCCAGAGCTAAGAAATGCTGAAACAAATCTCCAGTTTATGTATCTGGGAACATTGGTACGAAGTGACCAGGCAGCAGCCAGTCCGTGCACAGACCAGCATGCTACCTTTCCTCCCATAGAATAATCAGGCAACAGGCAAGTCATCTCAGCCACCACTCACAGAGAAGCAGACACTAGACTGTTTCAGCCATCCTAGATTACCTGCCTAACCTACACAAATCACTCGTGTGCTCCTCTAAAAGGACAGGAGAACAACATGCTCCTCCCTCACCTTTTCCAAATTAAATTGAAGGTGAGGGAGGAAAAGAAACTCATTTTACTTCTAGTTTAGTACTGTCTGACTCTACATTTTACCACAAGTAATACAATGTATTCATTCACAAAAAAATAAGATACAGAGATCACAGCAGGGCCTCTGGTGTCAGCCTGCCTTCCTGTCTGTAAGGGAAGTGGTAACTGCAATGAATAATGTCAATTCAGTTTGAAACAGCAGACAAAACAAAGAGATACGAGTATTTTGATTTGTTTCACATCACTTACGTCAATAAAGATAAGAATTTTAGACTCTAAGGAAGAGAATTTGGACTGTATGGTTGGAAATCTAGTTAAAAGGTTTTCCTCATCTTTGTTTGTGTTGGACCTACAAACCCAAGCTTGCTTGCAACAACTATAACTAAATGGACTCTGGGAGCAGGGGAAGAGGATTTTTAATTGTTCCTCAATAAACTGATCTATAGCATTATTGTAACAAACCAAAGCTGTTCTCACAGAAGGAGGAAGCTTTTTAAGTAATGACAATTTGAGCTTAAAGAACCAAGGTCCTCAGAAACTGCAGTCTCAAATCTGAGTCACAGTACCTCTGATCTTTTTAAAAGCCCTAAGGATATTTATTCTATGCTGCTCAAAGATTCCTCAGATAGTTTGGCAGAGACAGTAAAAAGCAACCTGGCTTCGCCCTCCAAAGCCATATAATAAAGTGCTAAGAAGAATTCCCCAAGTGTGATATGAAGATGCCAGTGTTTCTCTGAGAAAGCTTTTATCTTTGTAGGCCAATTTTTTTTTCCTATATAGACAAGTAGAATGGGATTTTCCAAAGAACTCACTTTAGTCTGACTCAGAGAGGAAAGTAGAATTTCCACTGATTTCAGAGGAAGAGATGAACCACTACTTCTGAAAATGCTTTCTGTACCCTTACACAGTGTATGAAAACATCAGGGATGGAGGAATTAATTAAATATAACAAAATCTCCTCAGGGAGGAGATTTGAGCTACCCAGCACTGTCCACTACACATGGGCAAGAACTCAAGCAGAGAGAAAAGCTGGCAGGGGTCACAGTTATACCTGATACCCCTGTTAAGGTTACATCTTAACAGATAATTTACAGAAGTATAAGAAAATAGGACAAGGTTTTATGGTTTGGACATATTTCCCATTCAAAAAACCGAGACCACAGAACAGAGCATATCTGGGAGGTGCATGGCATTCACTTCCAATCTAAACACAAGAGACTGCCTCACAGTTCTGACAAATTTATTAAGTCTAAATGAAAGTTTTCATTAATAAAGAGTGAAGAGGTTTCTTTTTGAGGCAAAACCACCACGCATTACATTGTGGAAATTAAAAAATTTATGCCAAGCACCAAAGACAGTGTAAAAAATATGGAGACTGCTTCATTTCTCTTTTCTAAAGCTGTCAGGTGCTAATGATCTTTTGGAGGTAGAATTACTTCATATATCAAGCAGAAATCTGCATTAGATCACAGCCTCAAAATGTGGATTATAGATAAAATTCTACCTCTGAGTACTATGTGGTAGACCAATGTGAATGCTTTACAGCTAAAAAAACTGAGCAAAAAAATGACAAAATGGACAATTTCTATTTCTAATACATATTAATCATTAATTTAACTGTTAAAGTGTTTTAACTATAAATTACTTCACGCATATAACTAAAGATGTCAGTGATCTTCGCAACATGGCAAGGTGATAAAGATGAAAAGAATGACCAAGGTTGGGATTATGTTTCTACGGCAGAATATATGGGTGAACATTTCAAACTTTCCTTAGTGAAATGAGAAAAACCAAAAATAGAACCTTCCTGCTTCTGGGAGAATAGTTCATAACAAATCATTCATTCAATTAATTTCACTTTACCTGTTCACAAATTGCCTGCAAAACACTTATAATTTTCTCCAAGGTGCTACTTCAATTAATTCACTGTATAATTTCAGTGAATAAGTTTTTAGCTGCAGATTGTGACAAGTGTTCAGCATTCTTAACTTGAAGTGTTGATTAGCTCTAACTGATGTGGAGATGAGTGATGTCAGAACAGGAGTCAGTCTCGCCCATAGCCCTCCACAGTTATTCCTGCTGTGTAACCTGGCACTTGCAAATTACCCGAAGGCTGAGCTACATCTGCTTTTTACTTGCAGTAGATCAAATCCAGCTTTACAGTGAGCACAAACCCCCTTCTGTTCAAACTAGATTGCAGGAACTCAACTTTGCTTTGATGTTGCAGATAGATAAGTACACATGGCTAGCTTATACCTAAATACCCATCTTTTCCGGACGGAAATAAGTTTGAAAGAGTAAAAGCTTAATCTACCGAGGTTTGTTGAAATCAAAATAACTGATTTCAGTAAATGGCATCTCTCACTGGGAATAGCCAATAGCCCAGGCAGATTCCAGAGCTGAACAAGGTTTCTGTTTTGCTTCTACTGACAGCTACCAGAAGCCAGACCATTAAAAACCATAAGGCAATCAGTAGTTTGTGTAGAAATCTCGTGATCGTGCTTTGCCAGAAAGAAATAAGCATGAAGCAAATATTTCAAAGCAAAAGCCTTCAGCTATTTAGTAGTAAGGGCTGAGTCACACAACTGCTGTTTAACTGGTTGCACGTATAGGTCTGGGTAACTAATACTAATCATGTGTTTAAGAAACTAAGCATTCATTATACTGTATTGTCAGCCAGTGTGTTTCCCCGTGTACCAAGCAGCAATCTCATCTCGAGTTATCTTTGTGAGCTGAAAAGCAGGGGATTCCACAAAAGAGGTTTCAGGAAGAAAAGCAAACCCAGGCAACCTGCTGCCTGAAGCGCCTGCCCTGCAGCACCACCTGCTCCACCGAAGCAGACACACACAGCCATGCTGTCACTGAGCTCCTCAGCCACCTCCTCAATTTACCACCCACACTGCAGTTACCTGCTCTGAGA